AAAAAAAAAAAAAAAGGCGGAAGAAGGACAGAGAGAAGGAGAAGCGGGGAAGAGGGAGAGAACGAGAGGGAGGAGGAGGAAGAAGACGAGGAGAAGGAGAAGAACTGGGGATGTGAAGAACTAGTATGGAGCAATAGGTCAAGACTGGAAGGGCTTGGGTTAGGTAGACAAGCAGTTTTCCAAGTCGCTGCCACATGGTTAGGGAGCCGTTTTAAACCATCAGAACCCCGAGTCCCTATTGAATCACCAACCATCTTTATTTGTTTTTTTCAGGCACCGGGAATCAACCTCAGGGTCTTGCGCTTGCGAGGCAGGCGCGGGGACGCTGAGCTAAATCCCCGGAGCCCACCACCTTTGTTTTTGAGGCACCGCGCAGAGGATTGTGGGAAATGCAGTCTAACCTCTCAATGACGTCACACAGAACTAGAACGCCGTTTCTGCTTTCTCCTGGGATTATGCAGTCCCGCCTATAACTGCATCTTCCTAAAGGAAGTTCCAGGTCTTGCTCCGGCCCACAGCTGTTTTATAGCTGAGGGCTTGCGTTCTGACGCTCCGAAGGTGGGTGGGAGGAAGAGAGAAATCTGAATCCTGGGGAGTGAAACAAAGGTCCCGCGTTTGGCGGCAGTGAAAACGCAGGAGGGTGTGGGCGGCGGGACCTCGGTGCACAGTTGAGGGCCGACCCGAGCGGGCCTAGGAGGCGGCGCGAGCCCCGTGCTGGGAGGGGAGAGTCGGCTGTGCTTTCCTGACTGCTGGCTCAGGGGCGGCTCGTGCTCCGGGTGTCCAGAGCGTGGCTTCCAAAGCTGCGAGGCAGACGGTCGACTGGCGAGGTCCACGTGGCAGAGCCGGGGGTCTGCGGACTACGGTAACTGGGGGCTTGCGCCGAGTTCGCCTGGCAGCTCTGCCCCTGAGCGAGCTTGTTCTTACCTGTGTGACATCAGTTTGCCCGTCTTTGAGACGAGGGGAGGAACAGTCTGTGATCCTTCCTGGCAACCCATGAATTTGAATGGATCATAGACAACTAGCCGATTAGTAAAGCACGGCTCTGGGTGTGTCTATGACTGACGTGTGGGCCAGCAAACTGAGGTTCAAGGACCCGCCCCGGACGTGGCTGCACCAGCCAATAGGCTTGTGGCCCGGATGGAGGGGCGTGTGCT